CGGCTCGGAGCCCGGGGCCTGCTTCCGATTCTGTGTCTCCCTCTCTCTCTCTGCCCCTCCCCCGTTCATGCTCTGTCTCTCTGTCTCAAAAATAAATAAACATTAAAAAAATAAATAAACAAACACTTTCGGGGCGCCTGGCTGGCTCTGTCGGAGGAACAAACAACTCTCGATCTCGCGGTTGCGCGTTTGGCCCCATGCCGGGTGTAGAGACTGCTTAAATAAATGAACTTCAAAATAAACACATAAAATAAAATAAAGACTTTAGAAAAGAACGGGGGCTCCTGGAGGCGGGGGAGTCCAACACAGGGGAGGGAAGGGGAGGGTCAGCGAGGACGGGCTGCAGCGCAGGTGGGGGGAACAGAAAGACGATGGGGCAAAGTCCGCCTGAGGAAAGGGCCCTGAATGTGCGAGGAGAGTGCGAAGGGAGAAAACCCAGGAAATGACTTCATTTTTTAATTTCTTTTAAGTTCATTTATTTTGAGACGGAGAGAGCATGAGCGGGGGAGGGGCGGAGGGAGAGGGAGAGAGAGAATCCCAAGCTGGCTCTGAGCTGTCAGCACGAGGGCTCCAACTCACAAGCCATGAGATCCCAACCCGAGCTGAAATCAGGAGTCGGGCGCTGAACCGACCGAGCCACCCAGGTGCCCCCCAAGAAACGACTTCAAAAAAGAAAACTGAGTTAAGAATGGAGACAGAGGTTCCTCAAAAAGTTAAACACAGAGGCACCGGGGGGCCCAGCAATGCTGCTGTGACTCCCAGGTACGCACCCCCTACAAAGGAAAGCGCGTGTCCCCACAGAAACTGCGCGCGCATGTTTGCGGTGGTGTCGTTCGTAACAGCCGGAAGGTGCAGACAACCCAAATGTCCGCCAAACGGGTAAACAAATTGCGGGGTATCCACAAAATGGAAGATTAGCCGTGAAAAGAATGGATTACTGAAATATGCCACAGCTTGACTGAAATTCAAAAACATCATGCTACGTGAAAGAAGCAAGATACGAAAGGTGACATGTGCAGATTCTTTTTATATAAAATATCCAGAAAAAAACAACCTCTATAATAACCAGATGACCAACCAATCGAAAATAACCGGCACGCGGGGTGTCTGGGTAGCTCAGCTGGTTAAGCGTCAGCCTCCTGATTTCAGCTCGGGTCACGATCTCATGGTTCGTGAGATCCAGCCCCGCGTCGGGCTCTGCACTGACAGCCCAGGGCCTATTTGGGATTCCCTCTCTCCCCCTCTCTCTGCCCCCCCCCCCACCCCACTAATGCTTGCTCTCTCTCAAAATAAATAAATAAACTGTAAAAAATTAAATAAAATAAAATAACCAGCACAGACGCTAATTTGTGCGTCTGCGTCTGGGCAGAGCCCAGTGTAGGGCTTGAACTCGTGAACCGTGAGATCGTGACCTGAGCCGAAATCAAGAGCTGGCCGCTGAACTGACTGAGC